AGTTTTTGTTTCTCCCTCCCCAGAGGTCTCGTGACTTGGGGGTAGAGGATGGGGTCCCTACAGCACAGCCTAAGACAGAAAGCTGAATACCTGGAAGTCGTTGAGGTTGTGCTCCAGGGAGAGGGCAGCAAGAATGAGACAGAAAGGCCAAGCAAAGCTGTGGTCTTCAGTACAGCCTAAGCCAGGCCAGATGGAAATGAAGAGACCCCAACCCCCATCCCAAGTGTTCCTTGGATCACCTCTCCAGCTGGGGCCAGCTGTGCATTGTGAGCTGCTTAGGGACAATGGGTCTAATTCTCCAAGGGAAGTGGCAGCTCTGAGCCTCTGGAGCTGCTGGGGAGTGAGTCCCTTGACCCTTGACCCAGCAAAGGAATCTGAACCAGGCTTCAATGTTAAGGTGCACATAGAGCCCTGGTGTGAAGACTGAAGCTCCATCTGTGTGCGGCAGGCCAGTGGCTACCCACTAACCCCGGAACTGCTGGTTCGCGGTGCTTTCCAAAGACCATCTCTCTTAGGTGGTACCAACCCCTTAGTTGTCTGCATCCAGTGTGCTCTTCGCTGCATGAATAGCACTGTGGTCACACCACTGCTCAGCAGAGCTTCCTATGCAGAGACGCCCTTGCAGGAATGACGAGAAAATATCTCATGAGCTTTAAGGCATCAGTCATGTCTCTCATCCAAGAGGAGACCTCTTAGTCTAGCCCTCACCAGCATACACACAGGGTGATGTGAGATCTATCTTCAAAGGCTTCTCCATCTTTCCTCTCAATTTCACCTCAATAAAAGAACACATTTTCCAAACAATGGAAGATTTATTAAAGAGACCCTCAAACTCTTCCAAAAACCAAACAATAGCAACAGCTCATTTCTCACCTGGGAAGAGAGAATGGAGACAGAAGCATTTGTCTCCCTACTGGAATCTAAAGTTCTGTCCAGGCGGCTCATGGATGATCTCGGCCAGAAGATGTGGGAGCTTGAGAGGTTTACTCATGCAGACAATGCAGCCATCACTCTGGGACAGTGGTTTCTGCATCTCTGGAGGAATGTCTCTGACATCCACGTGTCACATCCCTGTGGATATATTTCAGACTAACATACTTGAAGACAAAATGTGGCTGTACTTATTAAAAAGATTCCTGGGAGGCACAATAGATAGCATATACTGTTATGTCACATGGGGGCCAAGACTCCTTCAATACTCACATTAATTCAGAGACAAAGAGTTGCAAGAATGTCATACCTGTGTGGCCAAGGACCCCAGAGTCCTGCCAGGGCTGAGGTCAGGGGAGAGAGTGCAGAGGCCCTTTGTCTGGAAGCCCAATTGAGCTGTGTGGAACATCCCTGGAAGAAGTTGCAGCCCCGGCAAACACTGATCCACTTTTGAATTTTCAGAGCAAATTATCAACTATAAGGAAGAGTACCAATTGTTTAATTGAGAGATACCTCAAGGGGCTGGAGAGAGGGGACTGGAGAGAAGGGTCAGTGCTTAAGAGTACTGGCTGCTTTTCCAGAGGACCCTGGTTTAATTCCCAGCACCCACATGGCAGCTCACAGCTGTCTATAACTCCAATCAGACCCCTTCACAAAGACATACATGTAGGCAAAACAACAATGCATACTAGATAGATAGATAGATAGATAGATAGATAGACAGATAGATAGTATATTAAAAAAAATAAGAGACACTAGATCAGCCATGCAAACATCATATTCTCAGTACCCCAACTCAAACCTGCCTAACATAAAAGTTTACCTGGTGTTTTAAAAATAAGGGTCTGGAAGAAAAAAAAAACTTTATTGTTTCTTCTTATGAAGTAGTGTTTCTAGTTTTTTAATTAACATGTACAAACAACCCCCCTCATGCTGGTGTATTATTTCCTAAAATTATATATGAGTTTAGAAAAGTTTGAAAAAAAATAGTTTTGAAGTTCGCTAAATGCTTACCATTCAAGTCAGGCTATTCCTAAAAATAATCCCTTTAAGTTAAATATCTTTGGTAATAAAGGCAAATTAAGGGACAATAAATTATAACTTCTAGGCTGACCGACGACTAATTATAGATATTATAATTAAGTCCAGTTTCCTACACAGGCATTTATCTTAATAATCATCCCATCCATTAGCATATCTTAAAAGGGTTTCACAAAGCAGGCTGTGGCACTTGAAGGGACATCTGAGCTCCTCCCTAGGCTATGAGAGGGTATAAAATCAAAAGAGATGAAATTGCTTTAAAAAGAAGTTTGGGTTAAATATAAGTTGAAAAATTCAGATTATAGTCATAAAACCCTAACTTAAAAATATTTATCCTAAGTACCCTCTCTGACCAGCCACATGAAGGAGATTTGAGATCCTAAAAATCTACAGTCTCCACAAATCTGTTCAAAGTAGCTTTAACCCTCACAGACTTGTACCGTGTCTGTGGAGAAGTGCAGTTTAGACTGGAACTTTATAGGGGACGCTTGGGTTCTTTCTGGAAGTCCTGACCTTGTTCTGTGACTAATGTAAACAGGACTAATAGTTGACAATAGGAGTGAGAGCAGAGTGATTCTCCTGTCCCTGCTCATTTAAAAGCTGAGTGACTTCCCTGGCCTGCAGTCAGCTGAGCTCTTGGGACCATGTACAAGGCAGGGAGAGCCTGTAGCATGTCTGCTTTCTCTGGGACTCCTTTCTGCCAGCCTGCTGTAAGAGTTCACATCTTAGACGAGCCGGAGAGGTCAAAGATGCTTTAAAAGATCCTTGGAGAAGTCCCAAGGTGTTCCTTCAGCACCTTGGTGCTACAAAGCCCACAGGAGCATCCATCTCTGGGGAGTCTCCAGGATGAGCAGTTAAGCCTTCTGATACAGCTGGTGATTCACTCCTCAGCTGCCTCCAATAATTGTCCAAGGCACATGGGCAAGCTGCACCAGCAGAGGTACTATGAAGGTCAGACTGCAATAGAGCATGCCCTGATTTTATCCTGGAGATTGAAGCACAAATCACCTTGATTTCGATTTGGCACAGGGTTATAAAATGCACTTGCAATCACTGATAGCATGTAAGATCAGGCTCAAAGCATGGGACACCACATTTTATATCCCTGGTAGAGTTTTCCCTAATACAGACATAAATCAGCCCAGAAAGCAGGTACTTGGTCCCTGTTAACAGATAGAGAGAAACATGGGGCCATTAGGATGGAACTGTTCTTGGAACTTGGGGCAAGCTTAAAACTTTGTATCAAAGCCACACCAGGTGCCCTTTAGGAGACAGACCACAGTAGGGCTTTTAAAGGAGGCCAGAGAGGAGCATGAGCTGGTTAGCTAGTAAGAAGGCAGCACAGGCAGTCCAAACCTGCAGAGAAATCCCTCTGAATTTTAGGCAGAGATGTAAAATCTTGACAAGAAAGAAAAAGTAAAGCAACACGGCTCTCATGCACACATTTTGCTACACACATTGAAACATGGAAAAGAGAATAAGGTGTGCCTAGAAAAATGGGAGAAAATTTACCAGTCCAAACAGAAAACCAATGTCCAGAAGAACAGCAGCAGGAGTGTTCCCACCAAGTCTCTCTGTCCAGTTCCCATGGGATATTATGTCAGATTAATATATTCCAGGAAAATAAATAATTGGAGTTCTCTTCTTTGTCTCTCAGATCCAGCAGCCATGCACTTTATAAATATCTAAAAAATCATGAATGGAAGCTCTTACTGGTCTTCAGACGTCCAACTCAATATCAAAAAAGGTAGAGGGCTCATCTTCATCTTGATGTGGGGAGTCTAAGTTCAGACCCAGGTTCTACCTAGGAAAACGACTTCCCAGACTTCCTTCCCCCCCAGATCATTGACCCTGCCACCCAGTCTTACTCTTTTGCTGGTGCTGAAGGGTGAAGAAGACAGGGATCAAAAAGTAGTGATGGAAGTCACTGTTTACATGATTTTTCCCTACATTACTCAAGACTTCTCTTTGACCCAAAGTCAGGAAGAAAACACATGAATATCAAGTTCTTGTTTTGGAATGTGATGTAATATCAGACAGACTGGGAACTAAGCAGAAAAAAAGGGGGAGAAACGTGGCCCCTTACCTGAGCCTGAGCCCTGGGGTAGAATGAAATGGGCCAAGCTGAGGGGATTCTTGTACCAGATCCCTACTCTATCATCTTCCTTCTTCCCTTAGAATGAAAAACATACATCGCTTTTTTTTTTTTTAACCATCCTTTATCTACAGCTTGTCAAGTAGGAAAATAACTTTCTAAGTGAAAATGTGGAGCTGTAATTAGAAGAGAAAAGTGGTACAGGGTGTGCACCCGGGAGGTTAGGTTTCTCCTATCTGGCTCATTGTATCCAAATTAAGCCTCCTGGCAGTTTTATAGTGTAAAACAAAAACACAAAACAAAAAAAGATAAGACTGAGAGGAAGTTCCCTCCTGCCTTTGCCCAAGGTCAGAAGTCAATTTGCAGTAACTTAAAAACAGAAACAAAGTTACAAATAAAATGTCTCTTCTAAAAGGCAAGTCAGTTACAGAATTAGAGTCTGTGCCCTGTGTAGGGCTCAGGGAGAGGGGGCTTCCCTCATCTGACCTTTTGTGTATACAGGAAATATGACGGAAGGAAGGATCCTGGCACCAGCACTGAAGATGACCAAGTGCTTGGACAGATGGATCCTTCCTTCTGCTCCCAGGAAAGAATGTCCCTGGGCAGTGTATGCCTGAAAAAGAATATTGAGAGAGCAGTCAGGAGTTGTTAGAACTGAGCAGGTCGAGATGGATCCTACCCTGGACTGGTCCTTTCTCCTGCCTTCTGCCTCTCTGAAGCTGGCAAGCCATATGGTTCCAATGATGAAGCTGGCAAGCCATATGGTTCCAATGAGGAAGCTGGCACTTTTGTAAAACATGTAGCCCAGAGCTGGAGAAGGGAGGTATCAAGTCAGACAGTGGCAGGGGCAGCCAGGAAGCTCATATAAGACCACCACTGTCCCTGGACACTCCCAACACAGAGTAGGTTTTACAGGAGTCTTTCCTTTTGTCCTCTTCAACTTGTTCTCTGGAGACCTGATGGAACCCTGATGGGGTTCTTCATTGCTGTTGGCCTTGGGATGTCTTGGAAGGCAATCTCCCCCAGCTTCCTCACTGGAAAAGGTGTGATGACACTATGTGACACAGTGTCACACACTGCTGCTTGGACATCCACTAAGCTCCTCCTCTCTATAAGACGGGGAGATGCTGGGATGTCTCCATCAACCACTCAAATTCACAAATGGGACTAGACATTGTTCTCTTGGATGCTGTGGAGATGAACTCTATTAAGGAACTAATGCATGTGGAAACTTCGAGCCCAGTGCCTGAACATAGCAAAGCCCAAATGTAAACCAACTTTGCTTGAATATTTACACTGAATAAAAAATTCCCTCCAGAGCTGGATTGTAACTCAGCCAGAGATCGGTTGTCCTGTGTGCACCAGACTCTGGGTTCCATCCCCAGATCTATGAGGGGTGGGGGGACGGAGAGCAGGCAGACCTGTTGGAGCACATCTTTTAAATCCTGATACTCTAGAGCAGTGGTTCCCAACCTTCTTAGCACTGCAACCTTTTAATATAGCTCCTCATGCTGTGGTGATCCCAACAATAAAATTATTTCCATTGCTACTTCACAACTGTTTTTCTACTGTTGTGAATCATAATGTAAATATCTGTGTTTTCCGATAGTCGTGGGTGACCCCTGTGAAAGAGTCATTTGAGACCCAAAGGGGTTGCAACCCACAGGTTGAGAACTGCTCTTCTAGAGGCTGAAGGAGGGGAGGGTACCTGGGTTTCAGAATGAGTTCAAGGCCAGCATGGACAAATTACTACGATCTTGTTTCCAAATAAACCACAAGGAGAGGGCTAGGGATGGAACTCAGTGGTAAAATGTTTGCTTGGAATGAATGAAGCCATAGGTTCAGTCTCTGGGACCACCAAAACAAAACAAAACAAACAAACAAACAGGACAAAATAGACCAGGCGCGCATTATCCTTGAAGATTATACACATTCCTAGGAGTGTTTTTGCACAGACTCAAGAGCACCTGCAGGTTCCACCTTGAACAGTACAGAAGGTGGGCTGGTAAAGAAAACCCAGCTAAACGAGAGGAAAGGTGCCCAGGGAACCCACATAGTCAGCAATCCCTCCCCAAGGATGACATACAAATGGCAAATGTTAGGCATCAGGGCAACAGTAGACTTAAAAAGCAATCTGGTCATATGTAAGGCTGGTGCATGTGGGAAACCTCTGTGCCCGCCTCTCAATTTTGCTGGAAACATTAAACTGTTCCTTTAAAAAAAATGAAGTATTAGAAAAGAAGCAAAAACTATCAGCTCCAGGCTGGCTGTATCCTTGAATAGCCTGCAGGTACGAGTATGGCAAGAGCCTTACAGGTGGGCTCCAGGCAGGAAAACAGGCCTGTGTGGGTGATAGGAAGAGGCACAGCCAGTTCCAGGGTGATGATGAACCTGGTATGTTTAACTTAACATGTTCTGGTCTCTGTTGGTTCAGTATCTAAGCAAGATTAAATTCATGAGTTAGAGGCTGTAAGTGGATCCCTACATCCGGGATCTGCAGCATCCTTTCTAGCTACTATACTTGGGCTCTCCTACTTTTGTCCCTGGACCACATCTATGTTCTGCCCACCCTGAGTCCCTCCAACCAAGAGGCCAAGCAGCCACAACTCCCTTCTTCCCATTTGTTTCCTCTGCTGCTCGCTTCAGAATCTGTCAGTGTATCTTGCTCTCCCTCTGGCATCTCCCGCCCCTCCCATCTCTGTGTCTGTCCCCACCCCCAACCCCACAGACACTGTTCTTGATAATTATAGTTTATTGATTTCTCCCGCTGTCCTAACATCATGTTCTTCATCTTAGTTAGGCACTGTGTGGACCATCACAGCCTGCATTCCCTGGGAGGCAGAATGCTTGGTGTGCCCAGTCAGGGAGCATTCCAAAGCCTATAGCCAGGTTCCTCTCCATCCCCACTCCACACCCACCCACAGCCCCCCACCCACAGCCCTGTGGCCTCAGGCTGACTCTGGGAGGAAGATGAAAGATCTTAGCAGTAAACTCATATTGACATTTACCACACGCCAGACACATGGGTCTGTGCATTCTCCCAAATAACACTGAGGGAGGTTTACCAATATAAATGAGGCTCAGAGACACACTGGCTCAACTAAAATCACACAGCTATCCAGCGTCAGAGCTGAGATCAGGCCCAAATTGTACACACCGATTCCCAGAGTTACACACATCAAACCAAGACAACTTGCATTGCATCAGCTGGTTTGGAGAGAAGCAAAATGTCCAGAGATGCTACTGTGAAACAAAGTATCTCAATGCAGCATGGCCGGAGGACCCGTCCCACTCCCACTGCCTTCCAGAAAGACTGGCCAGCTGTTCAGGAGACAACCTGGCTCCTAGGCTGCCTACTTCTCACCATAAACAGGAAGGCAATAAAAGCAGCCACTTCTGTGCAGACTCTTGGGGGCTCCCCCTCCTGGGAGGGAACTATCCCCCGGGGCAGAAGAGCAATTGTTTCCTTGAGAAAGTTACTTTCTTCTTTGCCCCTCTGCTTCAAGGTAAATGTCGATATAAGTTGGAAATTCCAACTGTTAAAGTCACCCAGAGTTGGGGACTGGGGCTGGATGCCTGTGTTCAACCCAGAACCCAAGGACAGGGATGACAGTGACAGATATGCCATGCACTCCTCCCATTTTTCATTAACCATCTCTGTTTTAAATCTAATCAATTTACAGAAAGGACCTACTACTTCCTGAAAACAGAAAGCTACAATTCTGAAAAACAACTCTGGAGGGCTGGGGATGTGGCTCAGTCCATGAATGCTAGCCTAGGACACACAGCAGCAGCCAGGCCTGGGTCAGGGGTGGTGATACCTGCCTGAAATGCCATCCTCTTTGACTATCTAAAGTTCAGGGGGTAGCCTGAGATACTGGAAACTCCAGCTCTAAAATAAATACGTAAATAAAGACAGGCCTATGGTGTCCAGAGGTGATGAGAGAAAGCTTGTAAGATGACACAGAACGTCTCAAAGAATGTTCTCAATAACACTCCACAAAAATATTGAAGAAAAAAAATCGAAGTAAGCCAGAAGTTTCCAGGGCCACAGGGCTGCCCTTTGGCAATCATAATTACATGATTTAAGATTTTGCTACTTCTCGCTCTGTTGCATAACCAGTTTTCCAAATGTCCTTTATGCACAAGTTTCTTCCTGTAAATGGGCCACATACATTTAAAGTCACCTTCTGCGATACGGGACCCTGAGGGTGACTGATGAGTTCAGGGGTTCTGGGTGTGCAACCTGACACTGGAACTTTGGTCTGTTTCTTAAAGCCATAACTATTGGTCACTCTCCCTGCTCCCCAGGAATGAGTGGAGCCTCACAAGTCCAATGAAAACACTGGGATATCAGGAGAGATATATGCTGGAGCAGCCCCCCTCTGGCTAGGGGACACGTCTAGTTTCCAGGAAGCCATGTTTAGTGAGTCATGTTCAGTAACAGCTTCTTCTCTCTTTGGTACAGGTATGCTCAGGTATATCTGGTCCAACACCACAAGTATCACTAAAGAATCTGGATCCCATCCTAGAAAATGCTACTTTATCTTCAGGGAACATGGGTGATGAAGACAACACACGGGGTGTGGCCAAGTCCTTGACAAGGTTTGTCATTTCTCCCTACTTGTCCTGCCTTGGCCTAGCCTGGGAATTTTCTAATCCTTGACATCTCTGCCTTGTAGCCATTGAACATGTCACTGTGGCCAGACTCCAGCTCCACAAAGCCTCTTCAGACCCCCAAGTGTCACCCTCCTTGTACATCTCTGCCTGGGCTGTGTCACTTAGCTTGGGCTAGCCACCAGCCTCAGCTTTCAGCATCTCATGTTTGAGTCAGCAGTTGTAAGGTCTCCAGTAACTGGTCTTCACCTACAACCTACAGCGACCCACAGTAACCTCTGAATAACAATCGGGGAGTTTGAAGGGGCTGGAGAGTTTGGAACAGCACTGGTTGCTCTTCCAGAAGACACGGGTTCAATTCCCAGCACATACATGGCAACTCACAGCCATCTGTTCCAAGGAATCTGACACCCTCTCACAGATATACACACAGGTAAAACAACAGTGTGCATAAAATAAAAATAAATTATATAAAATAATCTGGGAGTTTTGTTCTGAACTCTGGATTTCTGTTTTAAAAGGAAAAAGAAAAAAAATCAGAAGATCAGCAGGACTAGAAGCCCACATTCCTCTTTTACAACCCTTGACTGGAGCTGAGTGGCGGGGTTCAGGTGAAACCACATGGTCAGCTTGTTAAACCTTAGCCATTCCTTACAGTCACCAGGAAACTAAACCACTGGGCCATTCTCCCAACTCCACTGCTAACTAGCTGTGTGATCTTGGGTCAGTTACTAAACATCTCAGTTGGGAAATAGAATAACAACAATATCCTCCCTGTGTGAGTTAGATCATTCAAGATGCAAGCCTGAGGACCTGTGTTTGATCCCCAGAACCCACGTAAAGAAACCGGGTGCTTCTGTACCTACCCCTGTACTCCCAGTACCAGGAGGGAGGGAGGGAGGGAGGGAGGGAGGGAGGGAGGGAGGGAGGGAGGGGTGGGGGGAAGGATGGAGGGAGGGAGGAAGGGATGGAGGGAGGGAGGAAGGGAGGGAGGGAGGGAGGATCCCTAGGGATTGCTAGCTGGTCAGCATAGCTGAATCAGCAAGTTCTAGATTCAGTGAGAAGCCCAGTGTCAGAAAACTAAGGTAGAGAGCTAATGAGGAGAGGAAAACACTTGTTGTCAATCTCTGGCCTACACACACACACACACACATACACACACACACATACACACACAC